CGGGCGGTTTGTGTCCATTGCGCACTCCTGTCCATTTCAAACAAGGACGAGATGATGATTTCGACTACGGCATAAATATTGATTGCATGTAACACACACACACACAACAACCTCCATGAGATGTCTAATTGTCAACCAGAGGTCTGTAAAGCAAACAGAACATTGAGACACAGACACGGATGCAAGTATTTGTGTACGGATTGAACGTACCCGGAATCTGGGCCCACTCGTGGCGCTGGCATTTCGACCGTTCCGATTTGAACAGTACAGCTCGATTGATCAGTTTGCAAGGATCCACGTAGACCATACAGCAGTCCGTATTGGTTCGCACGGTCACATCTCGGATGAGGTATACGGCATGGCGAAGTTGTTGCTCCAATGACTGGTTACTATGCCATAAGCAACTGTGACCGGGTTTTGCTTGTCTAGCAGCTCGATTTGTATCCAGCAGTTCTGATAGAGATTGATGTGGCATGCGCTTACGGTCGGAGTATAGTGCTGCAAAGGTAGATGCAAATGACAGTTTGTGTGTATCAAAGCGAGAGAATAACAAACAGTTCGTGTACTAAACAAGATTGGCACGTAAGACCAAGGAGAACTGCAGGTGTTGAGCACAGCAAAAACACAACTTGAAGATGACGAAAGCACGGCATTCGACACACACAACCCCCCTCGCCTGAGGAGCAATCCGAATGGATCGTGACAGACAAAAGCTCCCGGTAAGGATAGAGCCGTTTGTAGTGCAATCGGGGAAGCTGTATGAGCTAGCAGCGCCAGTAGTGACAACCAATGACCAAACAGTTCGGCTGACATCGATCACAAGTGTCTTCAAACGGAACTGAGGGTACACAAAGCAATTGGACTCCACTCAGCAGCTTTCTCTCAACGGACTATCTCCTGGGTAGCTTAGCGTTGCGCGTGCTACCAAAGAAGAGCCCAGAAAAGATGACAATGATAACATGGACGGTTCCAAATTCGTTGCTTTATGACTGGAGTCTGGCTTAGTCAGCCGCTGTGCATCTAGGGTGCGTCCACGCAGTGTAACATACACGTGCACCCACACACCCACGATGTACAACAAGCAACCACAGATGAAAAAATGAATCAGTCACTGGATGCATGTTTGCAGATGACCCAAAGACGAAGAGATCTGACACAACCGGCCGCAGACTTCTCACACACAACCATTGGATTTGTCAATCGTTCTTTTAGTTGTGGGGTCCAGATTCTCTGGTACACAGGTACTGACCAAACTCGTGCAACATCCTGATTTTCATCACATTTGTTCCTTTCTAGGCTTCATTTTTTCCAGCCGCATTCAAGGGATTGAATATGATATTGTCCCACATCACACGCAACATATCTAATATCATACCCACTTGTGTCTATGCTTCCATTAGCCAAATGTCATTGAAATGTACGATTTCGCGATTTTGACGATGGTTGCTGGTGCATCAGTTCTAAGATACCAAAGTCACAGTAGAAAGTGTAACTAGAATTTATTTATTAAAATGACTCATAGACTTCGTGCAGGTAATGTGCTCTCATCTCGTCCACGTTCCATCTGCCCTTCTTCATTTTTGAGCACTGGAGGCAATCGCTTTAGAATAGAGTCCACCAAGTTGACTACCAAACAGAATTTGCTAGTTTCCTCTAATACACCCCGCATTCTAACCACTGACGACCAATTCCGAGGCAGCTAACTCATCCCTGTTTGTGATACAGGGAAAAGTTCTCGATTAAATTAAAATCCCGGCTGCTGCGCGGTGATTGAATGACTTTGACACACAACTTGATCCCTCTATAGACTGCATAAATGTGAAAAAATGATAGTTAATAAGGTCTAACCGTATCTACTACCAACCTCAAGGGAGAAGATAAACCAACCGTCATCTGTGAAAAATACGACTTTCGCGAATGCATTTGTGAAGAGTAGCAGTTACCGAAAACCTTCCTTATCATTGCAAGAAATTTTCCGATATCCAGATTGGTGTGTGCAGAGACCAACAACAAGGCACTCAGTATTCAATTTCCTTCGAACGGGATGAATATTTACTTCTTTTGACAGGTAAGACGAAATTCATTAGAACACAAGTTCAGTAGATCAGGTTCTGAAATGCATTTCCAAAATGAGTGATATTGCTCGAGTTTGATGAACACCTGTATATTGGAAATGAATTATTTGGACACGTGAGTCAATAATTTTTTCACGCAATCAGGATCGTCAACGGCGTATCGGAAGACAGTAACAATGCAGCACTGTGGGAGATTCATCGCGCACGTGTGGGGACAGGGTCGAGCTGATTTGATGCCCACCAGGTGCAATCTCGCA